CATCCCTGTGCATGCCGTCATTCTGCCCACGTAGCCAAGCTGGCCAGAGGGCAAACATGCCAGACAGTGCCACCCACAGCTCTCAGCCCTTACCAAGTGAAGGGGGTATCACTGCTTCCACTGCCAGGTCCAAAAACACAAGCTGCCAAGGCTCTCATGTTTTGGGGACATCATATTAGTATGTGTCTCTCACACAGAGTATGAGTGAGACAGGAAAAGAGGCCCAGAGACAGAGACAGAAGAGGCAGAAAAAGAGCCCCACTCCCAACCCCCCCACCCCCAAAGAAAAGAAAGAGACCAAATCAGGGAGACATATTTCTTGAGTCTTGCACAGAAAGGAGAGGAAACTCCTTTTGCTACAGGCAGCTTTCGGGATGAGTGAATCATGTTTTGTACACGCACTCCGACAATTTCCAGCCCACTGGTTTCACAGCGATGACTGACCATTCTCTGAACTTCAGAGAACAATTCATTGTCCTTGAGACCACCTACAACTTGCATGCATGTGACATCATTCTAAGTTACACCAACTCAGCATTTCCATAAAATTTCTGTACACAGAAGTCATAGGGAATTGTAATGTATTTGAGCAAGTCAGAAATATCTTGTGTTTAAAAGTGTTAGTTTTATAATAATTGATGAGTGTCTTTTTTCATGTGTGAAAGTTATCTTTTATCTAAAGGGGGTTAAAACTGAAAAAAAAATAGGATGTTTCACAAAACTAGATTGTGCAGCCAGGCCAGTACTTGCATTCTTAGTGAATGTGCCTAATCTTTGTTACTGAAAGTACCTACTGGGGGAGAACATGGCGTGAAAATGGATGTTGAGATGATTGTCCTTCTTCAACTAAATTTTAAACACAAATGGTTTTGATTCTCTCCCAATCCTTCATTTCTGTAGTGGAACCAGTACAGATAAGTAAAAGATGCCAAAAAGAAAATACCTGTTAAAAAGTTTAAACGAATAAAACCTTAATCAGAGCCAAAATTATTAATGCAAAATCTGTTGAATGCAGAGTGACTAGCCAAAGCAAACGCCATCAGTATGAACTGATTTCCTTAATTAAATTTCCTATTTTAAGACATACAGATAAATTCACAGTTCAATAAAGATTTGGAATAAGAGAAAAAAAATGATGAAGTGAGCCCTAGCAGGTTCATAGTGGTTAGAGCATCCGCCTGTGGACTGAAGGGTTGAGGGTTCAATTCCGGTCAAGAGCAGGTTCCTCGGTTACAGGCTTGATCACTGGCCAGGAGTGATGTGTGATCACCAATTCATGTGTTTCTCTAACATTGATGTTTCTCTCTGTGTCTCTCCCCCTCCCTTGCACTCCCTCTAAAAATCAATGGAAAAAATATCCTTGGGTGAGGATTAACAAAACAAAACAAAAAAGGTGAAGTGATAAGGGCAGAATGAGTTTCAATAGACCAGGGCTCTGGCTTCAGCTGTTAGTATTAAATAAGTTGATTAAATTAATTAATTCACATTAATTCTCTTGTGTATAAAAATGAAAGTGATAAATTAGCTGATCTTTAAAATTTCTGAAAAGACGGTAGGTAGTGAAGTGGACTACAGAAAGGGAGCATTTTCTAATTTTCCAAAAGGTCTTATAGAAAAAAGTAAGGTACGGTCATGTTAACCTAGTAAGATTCACTCAAAATAGTACTATTGTAAGTATTATTTGAATTTAAGATTTTTGCCCATGACATTCCCTCACAGAAGGCTCTGAGTAATGTATTTCAGAAGTCTAACTTGGGTGGACTTGCTCTCAAACAGTACAGCCTTTGTTACAACAGGCCCCTTAATGACATTCTGGGTTGATGCTTGGAAGACCCACAGTGTGTGTGGGGGAACCCTGGCACTACCCCACTGACAGATGCAAGAAGGATCCTGCTTAGTCTCCCTTATGCAATGTTCAAATCCCGGACAGAGCAATGCAAGTGAGGAATTGATGAGGAACCGTGATTTATATAGAAAAAGAATAGTATCTTGAAAGACAAAGCACTTTTTTAAAATAATTTTTGCGCCGAAACCGGTTTGGCTCAGTGGACCCCTTAATGACATTCTGGGTTGATGCTTGGAAGACCCACAGTGTGTGGGGGGGAGCCCTGGCACTACCCCACTGACAGATGCAAGAAGGATCCCGCTTAGTCTCCCTTATGCAATGTTCAAATCCTGGACTAACTCTCTGTCTCTCTCCCTTCCTCTCTGTAAAAAATCAATAAAATATATTTTTTTAAAAATAAAAAAGCACCTTTCTAAAATAATTTTTGTAACTACTGTGAATTAAAATAGAAAATGGACCAGGTTACAACTCTTCTAAATTTTAGGGTTTGAACTGTTTTGTAAAACTGGTTTCAATTTACTTTTACCAAACTAGAAAAAGTTACCACGTAAGTCCCTAGGAAAAATCTTAACTTATTATGCCAAGAAAATAATACCAACAAGTACAGATATAAATAAAATAATAGATAATAGCAAAATGAAATGGAAATTAAGAATATAGTGAGATGTTTTTTGATACTGAATAATATTGAAGGCTTAGATACAAAATCAAATTTATATTTTAAAAAATGATTTTTAACTATTGCATGTAACTCTCAAATCAATGTTTTTAGCCCTAGACCCTCCCTAACAATTACACTTGCAACTGCCTGATGGACATTTCTATGTAAATGTCACATATTTACCTCAAAGTTTTCTTCTCCCCAAAGATAAGTTCTCTTTTCTCCTAAATTCCCTTTATGGCAGCGGTTCTCAACCTGTGGGTCGCGGCCACTTTGGGGGTCGAACGACCCTTTCACAGGGGTCGCCTAAGACAATCGGAAAACACCTATATAATTACATATTGTTTTGTGATTATTCACTATGCTTTAATTATGTTCAATTGTAACAATGAAAATACATTCTGCACATCAGATATTTATATTACAATTCATAACAGTAGCAAAATTACAGTTATGAAGTAGCAACGAAAATAATTTTATGGTTGGGGGTCACCACCACATGAGGAACTGTATTAAAGGGTCGCGGCATTAGGAAGGTTGAGAACCACTGCTTTATGGCATCATCATGCTCTCAGTCACTCAAGTCAGAGACCTGAGAATCCCAAGTCCTAACATTTTCTCACTTCCAGTGCCCCAACTATCACCAAACCCAGCACATTCTAGCTCTTTCACATTTCTCTCTTTCTCTGTTCCTCACTGTTTCTACCCTAATTCTAGCCCTCCCATCTTTTCCCCCAAATCATTACAAAACAAATCTTCCTCCCTTCAATCTTACTCACCCCCAGCTCTTTCTCTACACTCTCTCCAGGTTAACACACCTAAAATGCTAATGATTGCCAGCTTAAAACTCCTCGGTGCTTACACACACACACACACACACACACACACACACACACACACACACACCATACCTAGAACAACTTATTATTTCCACATATGGGTTTCACAACCCTATCCCACTGCTCCTGTCTGCAATACCCTCCTCCCTGCTCTTTAGCTGGCTCACTCCTATTTACCTCTCAAGGGCCATTTCAGGGTCACCTTGTCCAGGCAGACTGCTTAACACACACAAACCTCCGACGGCAGGCTGTGTTTGATGCCTTTTTCATTCCTTAATGCACTCTCAGTATACTTTTATCATATTGGAGTTGAGCATATTGATTTATTTGCCTGTCTCTTGGAATTTGACAGATATTCCTGAAAGGTAAGTGCTTATCACCTTTGCTTCTCGAAATCCTAGCAAAGTTTATTGAATCAAACTATGGAAGAAAATAGATGGGAGGATATGTAGAGAGTTATAAATGTTTAGAAATAGTCATTGTTTTCCTTAGTTATGCAAATATAATTTCATGGCTTTGCAAAGTGCTTTCATATAATTTATATTGTTTGATCCTTGAAACAATCCTTAGAAGGCAGGGTAAGGTAGATATGAAGGCTCATACAGTACCTCTCATGGTTTTGCTTCCCACAGCTTCAGTTACCCAGGGTCAGTCATAGTCCAAAAATATTAAATATTTTATAAAATAATTCCAGAACTAGACTACTGATAAGTTTTAAATCTCACGCCATCCCCATCCATCTCTCTGGGTATGTGAATCGTCCCTTTGCCCAGCATGTCCATGCCCGCTAGTCAATTGGTCTTCTTCATGGTTATCAGATCGACTATCATGGTAACTCGGTGCTCGTGTTCCAGTAACCCCCCCTTTTTTCTTTTAAGAATAGTTTAATGATTTTTAGAGAGCAAGGAAGGGAGAGGGAGAGAGAAAACATCAATGGGCTGCCTCCTGCATGCCCCCTCTAGGGGATGGAGCCTGCTACCCAGGCATGTGCCCTTGACAGGGAATCAAATCAACAACCTCCCTGGGCACAGGACAAGGCCCAATCAACTAAGCCATACAGGTCAGGGCCAGTAACCCTTATTTTACTTAATAATGACTCCAATGTGCAAGAGTGGTGATGCTGGCAATTCGGATATGCCAAAGAGAAGTCATAAAGCACTTCCATTAAGTGCGTATGTACAGGAAAAAAACATAGTAAGTATGGGGTTTGATACTATCTGCAGTTTCAGAGATCTGCTGGGAGTCTTGGAATATTTCTCCTATGGATAAGGGGGCACTACTACACATAAGACATTTCTCTGAGAAGGAAATGTTAAATGTTATTGATTTTTTTTAAAGTAGGGGTGTGTGTGTGTGTGTGTGTGAGAGAGAGAGAGAGAGAGAGAGAGAGAGAGAGAGAGAGAGAGAGAGAGAAGTCTTCTTAGGTCAGAACTGCAATGTCAAATAAAGTAAATTCCTGTTTGGTCAAAATAGCCAATTGATTTTCTTCATAACTTCTAAAACAGTCTCCTAAAAAAGAAAAACTCTCAATTCTGGATAGAGAATTTTCAACACCCTAATGCTCTATCCACTCTTTTTTTAAGAGGTATATTTCAGAATACAGAACAACTCATTTAGATTTCTAAATATAAAACGAGAACTGACGGGCCCTCACCTTTGGAAGATCTGCTGGGCCAAGGGTTTCCTGAACGTTTCCCTGATTTTTGAAGCTGTCTTTTTCTCAGGATGATGCCAACAGCTGAGAGCAGCTTTGGTGAAAGTCTTCAGCAAACAAGGGTGGGGACTGCTGAAGAAGAGTATCACAAAGACTCCTGAAAAAGAAAAAAAAATCAGAACAGTGAAAAATTGTTTGGGGTTAGTTTATTCTATTGACCTGAGATTTCATTCTATTATCCTACTACAATTGACAAGGAGAACTTAATACATATTAAACTCCATGATTAAATTTGAACTAAGGTTTACTGTATTTAAGGACCTCAATGATTAAGAAACTTTAAGCAATTTAACAGCAACAGGTAATGAAATAAAGGTAACATAATTCCAATTACATTTTGGTCTGAATGATCCCTAAATAGCAGGAAACACGCTATACACAAATCAAAAAGGAAAAAGAAGCCCTTGATCTTAGTCTACTCTCATACTTCATGGGAATACACCATGCTTTATAATCACATCAACACACAGGCCACGGCTGGGAAGAATCTAATACAGACTTAAAAGAACAAACAATGAAGAACTAAGTATTTGATCAAGGTTGACGATGCCAGAGAGGAACTCAGCAATGCAATTACGTTTTACAGGTGGCTTAGAAGGCAGTGGGGAAGGAGGCATCTGGGAATAAGGAAAACAAGCATAAGGTTAGAGTAGAACTACACAGAGTGAAACCTTAATTAAACAGAAGTGCTTGAGTAGTGTGTTTGTTTAATACCTCCCTTTAATGAAAAAGGGTGAGAGCCACAGAAAGGATTGTTTAGAAAGTCTCTTTGAAACCAGAATTGGGGTTAGTCTGTGGTGAGAAGAGCAGAAGACAGGAGATCCGGACCTGCCTCCACTGCTCACAGCCTCACCCAGGCTTGCCAAGTGCTTGATGTTGTGGCCACATTTGCACCACAGGAAGAGCTTTCAAAAAATATTGATGGCTTGGCCCCCACACAGGCCAAGTAAATCCTTGGCCAATAAATCAGAATTTCAGGTGGGATGGAGCCCAAGTATAGTTTTTTGTCGTGTTTTTTTTTTAAATAGAGAAAGTCAGAGATGTTCTTTGATCACTCATCTAGCTCTAACATGGTCTTTTACACATATTTTGCACCTCATAACTCAAGTTTGTTTTAAAAACAAATTCAATTTAAAGTAATAGTATCCAAAATTAAAAAACCCAGTCCTAGCCAGCTTTTCTCAGTAGTTAGAGCATTGGCCAGTGGACGAAGGGTTGTGGGTTCAATTCCAATCAAGTGCATGTACCTCGGTTGTAGGCTTGACCCCTGGCCCCGGGGCCATGTGCGGGAGGCAACCAATTGATGAGTCTCTTTCACTTTGACGTTTCTCTCTTTGTGTGTCTCTCCCTCTCCCTTCCATTGTCTCTAGAAATCAATAGAATCAGGTGAGGATTAATAACACAACAAAAATTTTAAAATCCCAGTAAAATTAAATAGTTCCCCAATTTTCAAGAGGCAGTGACAGGCTCTGAGATGTACAGTGACTTATGCAAGGTCTGAGCAAACTCCAGGACAGAATCAAGTCCTCTGGGGAGGATAAAGTGGGATCATGAACTGGGCTGGACATAACTCTATTTCAGCCTAGAGTGGGCATGATCAGAAGAGGTGGAGCCACACTGATGACAGGGTACGGATGCTATGGCTGTGTGGGCAGAGGGGAGCCTAACCTCAGGGTTGCTGCCCCTTCAGGAATAATAGGGATAAAAATAATCCTGGTAGCTAAATTATTGAGCACTTCAGATGAGCTAGAGACTGTGCTAAGAAAGAAGGGCTTTAATCCTCACAAGAACTCTCTGACCTAAGTACTATTATTATCTCCAATTTATAAAAGAGAAGCTGAAGCCAAGAGAGCTTAGTCCTATCTCCAAAATAGTGGAACTAGAATTATAAAGAGCTGGTCTCTCTCCTAACCATAAGTTGCCTTGAGGGAATGCAGTTAACAGGCAGCTAGAGGCAAGGCTACTCCGCCCTTGTAGGCGCTTTGTCTTCTTTTGTCACAATGCATTTTCTCACATTGGAAAGTGGAAACAGAAGCATCCTTCCCAGTGCTTTCAGATTTCCTCAGATTAAAGAACTAATTTGTTTGGGAAAGGATTAACATTTCTCCCTTCACCACACACACACACACACCCCACCCCACCCCACACACACACACACACTTCCAACTTGATAAAGTTTGAATGCTGAGATTTCATTATGCTATTTTGGAGAAATCAGCTCAGGCAACTATCAGAAGAGTCATCACTGAAATCTGTCCTAAATGACTCAGTCCATCATGACATAAAGCTGAGCTAATATCTCTGGAACATCATTTACAATTCATTTGGAAAAAACTCACCAAACTTTCTTACACTCACCTAAATCATCTTAGAGAAGTATCTTTGTTGCAGTATGCTGTCTCATTATATTTACATCATGTAAAATAATTTCCTTTCTTTAAAGTATTGTTATTAGCCTTAGTTGGTTAGGGCACCATCCCGATATCCCAAGGTTATGGGTTCAATCCCTGGTCAGGCAACATACAAGAATCAACCAATGAATGCAAAAATAAATGGAACAACAAATTGATGCTTCTCTCTCTCTCTTCATATCTCTCTCTCTCTCTCTCTCTCTCTCTCTCAAATCAATAAATAAAAATGAAGGTTTTATTTTCACCCCATCCCATTAATATGTTACCTTTATCGAATGTGGTTCATTTTTCCAACCTGCTCAAAACTCTGGCTTCTCAATTCTGTCCTTCCAAATATTTTTTATGCCTCTCACCTTCATGTTAAATTAGGTAAGCATGCCATCTACAATAATGTTCATGCTATCATAAAAATTGGATACTATTCACAGAGCAAATAGTGGCATAAAAATAATGAAAACTGTCTGGCCGGTGTGGCTCAGTTGATTGGGTGTCATCCTGTGCACAGGGAGATTGCTGGTCCCATTCCCAGTCAAGGACACATGCCCGGGTTGCAGGTTGGATCCCCAATCAATGTTGCACTCTCACATCAATGTTTCTCTCTCTCTCCCTCTCCCTTCCTCTCGAAAAATCAATAAACTATTATTTTTTAAAAAAGAAAACCTAATAGTCAATAAATTAAAATAAATTTATTTTAGTGCCAAAGTCATTACTTAAAATTAATAATCACCGCCGAAACCGGTTTGGCTCAGTGGATAGAGCGTCGGCCTGCAGACTGAAAGGTCCCGGGTTCGAATCCGATCAAGGGCATGTACCTGGGTTGCGGGCACATCCCCAGTAGGGGGTGTGCAAGAGGCAGCTGATCGATGTTTCTAACTCTCTATCTCTCTCCCTTCCTCTCTGTGAAAAATCAATAAAATATATATATTAAAAAAATTAATAATTACCAATTCTCCAAATAGACTGCAAACCATCCTGAAGATATAAATAGCTACATAAACTGACATGTCCAAACAATTCATTTGCTGAATCGAGGTTTTACTATTTATTTGGTAGAGATTGCAAAACCCAGGAGAATTAGGTTCCAGCATCATTAGAAAAAATTAGGCCATAGTTGAGATAATTGGCAACATGAACTTTGTAGTTAGAGTAATTACCTGTGCAGCAGACCAAGAAGTTATGTTTGAGAAGCATATTGCAAAAACAGAGCCAAGTTAGCTTCATCCTTCCCTGAGGCAATCATGGAAATTAGCAAAATCTGTCCTTTTAGGTCATCTGGTACACTCCTGCCAAAGTGAAATTGTTTCCCAAAGATCTCAACTGCTTTGTCTAATTTACCTTTCAATTAGCCTGGGATCTCTTCTTATAGCTAAAAGCCCCACACTGAAGAGCTTTTTAAGTTCTCGTGTCTGCTTTTTTAGTTTTTCTGTCTCTGTCATTACTGTCAGGGTGTCAAACTCCAATTTCTCATGGTGATCAGTGAGCCTGCCTGGAGTAACCAAACCTTCTTCACTATTCTAATTGGATACTTGTGGTCCTCCTAGGACAGTGATGGCGAACCTTTTGAGCTCGGCGAGTCAGCATTTTGAAAAACCCTAACTTAACTCTGGTGCCGTGTCACATATAGAAATTTTTTGATATTTGCAACCATAGTAAAACAAAGACTTATATTTTTGATATTTATTTTATATATTTAAATGCCATTTAACAAGGAAAAATCAACCAAAAAAAAATGAGTTTGCATGTCACCTCTGACATGCATCTTATAGGTTCGCCATCACTGTCCTAGGGCAAGGGAAACAAAAGAGAAAATAAATAGGACTACGTCAAAATTAAAAGCTTCTGCACAGCAAAAGAAACCACCAACAAAGTGAAAAGGGAGCCCACTGTATGGAAAAACATATTTGGCAATGATACAACTGATAAAAGGTTAATATCCAAATTATATAAGGAACTCATACAACTTAACAAAAGCAAGTAAAACAATCCAATTTAAAAAATGGATAAAGGACCTAAATAGACACTTCTCCAAAGTGGACATACAGATGGCCAATAGACATATGAAAAATTCTCAAAGTCACTAATTATCAGAGAGATGCAAATTAAAATGACAATGAGGTATCACCTCACACCTTTCAGAATGACTATGGTCAACAAATCAACAAATGACAAGTGCTGGCCAGGATGTGGAGAAAAGAGAATCCTAGTACACTGCTGGTGGGAATGCAGACTGGTGCAGCCATTATGGAAAGCAGTAGGGAGTTTCCACAAAAAATTAAATATGGAACTGCCTTTTGACTCATTAATCCCACTTCTAGGAACATATCCTAAGAGATCTGAAACACCAGTCAGAAAGAATATATGCACACCTATATTCATAGCAGCATAATTTACAATAGCTAAGATCTAGAAACAGTCCAAGTGCCCCTCAGTAGATGAGTGGATAAAAAAAGCTGTGATACATTTCACCATGGAATACTATGCAGCAGTAAAAAAGAAGGATCTCTTACTTTTTGAGACAGTATGGAGGGACCTCGATAGTATTATGCTAAGCGAAATAAGCTAGTCAGAGAAAGACAAGTATCACATGATCTCACTTATATGTGGAATCTAAAGAACAAAATAAACTGATGAACAAAACAGATCCAGAGACATAGAAGCATAGAACAGACTGTCAGATCTCAGAGGG